CCCGTCTCCCCATCTCTGGGCCTCTCTCTCACGGTGTCCCTTCTGCCTCCCTGCCTCTGTCTCTCTGTCCATCCATCTCTCCCTCCCTCCCAGCCCCTCCCCGCCCTCCCCCTCTCTCCCTCTCTGTCTCACTCTTCGCCTCTCTCTTTTCTCTCTCAAGTGTTTTCAATTTTATTCTGAGTGGAATTAACTACCCCTGATGTCAAATTGCCGCCGAAATCGATAATAATATCTTTACAAAAGAGGATATTCTTCTCTCGGAGAACGGCCTCTGAAAAATGGAAAATTTAGTCGAAATTGATTCATTACTTGACACTTTATAGAACGGCTGCGTATTGATCGCACCTGTCATGTCCCATCTCCCCTAATCGAAGCTGAAGGCCGGCTCCGATGCCTGCTATTTTTCATAATTCCACCGCAGCCGACAGCTCCACAAACACCGCCGCTCGCTCGGCCTCCGCCTCCCCGCGCTGGCCGCCACCGCGCGCCCCCTGCTATTTTTCATAATTCCACCGCAGCCGACAGCTCCACAAACACCGCCGCTCGCTCGGCCTCCGCCTCCCCGCACTGGCCGCCACCGCGCGCCCTCGGCCTGGCCCTGGCCTCGCTGGCCACGCTGCATGGCTGCACCTCCGTCCATCTGTCCACCAATTCTTGGGATGCCCTCTGTCTGTCCTCCCTCTTGGCCATCTTCCCCGCTATCTCCCTGCCCCCACCCCAAGCCCTAAGTGTCTGTCTGTCCTTTTCCTGGGACCCCCCCCCATCTGTCCAGCAGTCTTCCAACACCCTCACCTAACCTTTCCCTGGGAACTCTCCCCCTTCCCGCCCTTATCCGTTTGTCTGACTTCCTATCTCTGCCCTTCCCCTATGCACTCCCCCTGGCTGGCTGCCTCCCATCAGCCCGCGTGGCTGTCTGTCTGTCCTCCCTGAACTTCATCCCCAGCCTTCATCCTTTCACCACCTTCCAGCTGAATGGCGGGTAGGGAGGCCATCTGTCTCTCACCTCTCCCCCCCGCAGACTCCCCAGATTCTCTCTCCTCTCCCCAACATCCAGCCTGACTCCCCCTGCTCCCCTTTAGCCCCCGCCAAGGTTTCCAGAGCTCCCTGCCCTTCTCCCCAGCCCCTCTTTACCCTGTTTCTTCCCTCCCTCCTCCTCCCCAGGCCCCCATGGGCCAAGTTCTGCCTTCCTTTCAGTGGGGACCCAGAGATGAATCAGACACAGGCCCTGTCCTCAAGAAGTCTTGAGCCCCTCAGAGGTCAAGGGAAGGTCAGACTGTGCCAGAAGAATGTCCAGAGCCTGGGGATTGGAATAGGGTGGATTCTGCTCTGGGGTGGTGGGAGTGTGAGGAGAGTGTCAGTCTGAGCTGGAGACACAGGCTGTGCTTGTCTGCAGCAAGCTCCTCATCTAGTATGTGGGGCTTGGGGTGGGGTGTGTGCAGCAGGGTGGTATAGCCTGTTGGTTAAGAACACAGACTCCATGGCCAGGCTGCCTGGGCTCGAGGCCCACTTCCAAGACTCACTAGCTGCAAAGAGTGGGGAAGTGACTGTGTCTCAGTTTCCTCATCGGTAAAATGCGGGTGACACTAATATCAACACCTACTTCATAGGGTTGTTGCAGTGAGAATTAAATGAGTTAATCTGTGTATAGAGTTTAGGCCAGTGCCTGGCACTGAGCAAATACCATTAAAACATTCATTGTCATGACCACTGTAATTGTGCTCGGGCCAGCCCCATTCAACCTCCTCCTCCCCCCTCCCCACCCCCTAGTCCCCCCACCTCTTGAGCTCTTGCGGTTCAGGGAGGGCTGTGGTGATGGGGTTGGGTTAGGGAGATGGATTCTTGGGGTGAGGGGGCCACCTTACCCTCATCTTGGTTTCACCCTCTGTCCCATTCAGTGCTGTTAGCTGCACCTGGAGGCATTTTTCAAGGGGTTAAAAGCAATCTTAAGGGTGGGGTTTGCCCTCACAGAAGGGTCCTCTCACTCCTTGCGGGTTTAAATAGTAATGGATATTACAGACCCTAGAGGTGTTCTCTCTCCTTCATGGGTAATAAATTCAGTCCATTGGGTTTACAGGCTGGTAAGGGTTCTCTCTCTCTCTCTCTCTCTCTCTCTCTCTCTCTCTCCTAGAGGGCATTAAACACCCTGAGGGTGTCCTCTCTCAGTGGGGCATTAACTACAGTCTTCTGCTATTGCAGCCTCCCTGGGGATGTTAACTACAGCTTAATGATCCTCCTCCTGTGAGATGCTTCCTTCAGTCAAGCAGGTGTTGGCAATACTGCTAAGGAGTTCATATGTAGCCATGGGCGAGTGCTACACCCCTCCTTGCTAATGCTGTGCAGCGAGAACTCTCACTTTCATTGAGCACCTACTATGTGCTTTACAGGGCACTGCAACTCTGGTGTCTGCCTTTCATGAATCTGGTGTGCCTTACAGACACATGGGGCTCCGAGAGGGAGTGTAAATTGCCTAAAGGTGCACAGCCCCCAAGGTGTTAGAGAAATCAGGAAGGTGTTCCCTGGTGGGGAGGCTGAGAGTGTTCTGAACAGTCAGATGGGTGTTGTTCACATCACCATGGGTGTGATGCATCACACAGTCTAACAGATCCTGGCCCCCAAGGACATCAGAGCTCTCCTTGGAGCTCCTCCATACCCTCTGGTTGTACATTGTAAGTCCCTCAAAGGTGTTACCTACAGTCTAATGGGTGTTTCTGATACCCTGGGATGTTTTTGCCTCTCTTAGAGACAGGGATTTAGAGATAAAGAGTATTAAAGCCCTCTTGACTGATGTTCTTTGCTGTCTTATGGGTGTCCCTAACATTCCAAAGATGTTCTCTCTTCTGGAAGGGTGTGTGTACTGTGTAATAAACTCTATCTTCCTAGAGGCTGTTCTGTCTTAGCGAAGGGTGTTATCTACAGTCAACTGAGTTATTTCTGCTCCGAAGGTGTTCTTTCTCTCTTCACAGGTGTCTTCGCATGCATTTAATGGTCATAACATACATTCCAGTTGGTGTTCTTGATGCTCTAATAGTGTTCTACCTCTCTTAAAGGGTGTAGCCTATAGGCCAAGGAGGGTGACCATGCAGACAAGGGAGTCCTACCTCACAGAAGGTGTTCCAGAACCTCCTCCTTGGCATTCAGAGCCATGCACTGGAAAGGTACGGGGATCTTGTTCTCTACCGTCTGGTAGGTAGTACAGACACCCAAGGGGCATGCATCTCAAAGACTGTCTAGCTGGTGAGCTGTGTTCAGGGAGGCTCCATATAGTCCAGAGGCTGTTACAGACACCCAGAGGACCACAGCTCTCCTGGGGAGCCTTAAATGTAGCCTAATTAAGTGGTGTAGACACCCAGTGCAGGGCTTCCTGCTGGATCCTTGAGAGGGTGTTCCACACAGTCTAACTAAAAAGGTAGAGACAAGCAAGGGAATTCTCGTTTTCTAGCAGAATTTTTAATATGATTATTTTGTAATAGTAATGCTCACAGCAAAGGTATGTTTATTTGATGCTTGGCATGGTACCAACCGCTCTCCACATGTCCTGCTGTTCAGCCCTCCCAGCCACACTAGGAGGTAGTTGTCATTATGTCCCGTTTGGCAGATGAGGAAACTGAGGCTCGGGGATTTTTATCGACTTGCCCAAGTGAGGGGTGAGCGGTAGTGGAGCCGGAGACACTGTCTGTTCTGCGGGGCTGAAGTTCTCTTCCTGCCCTTCAGCACCTCTGTCTTGGCACCTGGGGGTGGGGGTGGACGCAGGTTGGTGAGCTCCCACAGAGCCATCCTGGCCATGGCATATCCACTTGAGGACTGTTGTCTTACTTCAAAACATACTTTACCCTCTTGAGGCAGGTGATTCCAGGGGTGTCCTGGAGAGAGCTGTCTTTCCCCAGGGAATGGTGGTACTGGGGCTTGGGGGGCGGAGCCTGACCTGGGAATGGGAGAGAAAAGTGGAGGAGGTAGGTGGAAAGGGAGAGGGAGGGGGGAGGGGGAGGGGCAAGGGAGAGAGCAGAAGGGTGGACAGTGAGGGTGAGGGTCAGGCTGGGCCAGGAGGTTCCCTCCGGAGCTGAACTCTGGGTCTGGGGGCTGCTGTCCTCAGGGCTCTGAGGCTGGTTGGTATTTACTTGTTATTTCAACAGAAGCAGACCCTGCTGGGCTGGGCCCTTCCCTGTGGGTGTAAAGGGGAGTGTCAGTGTGCTGGCCCTGGGTTCTGTTTGTGATTGTCCCCGTGTCAGTGATGGTTTGTGTGTGCAGGCTGTGCGTCCATTTGTTTGTGCACATGTTTCTCTGTGCGTGTCCGTGTGTCTCAGTGTACAGGTTGTGTGTTTCTACTTTCTCTATTACTGTATCCGTGTGTGTGCTGTGTGTAGGTCTATTGGTGTGGATGTGGTTGTCTCTGCGTACAGCTGTGTGTCCACGTGCTCACTAGGCTGTGTGTCCTGTGTGAGTGTGTTTGCACTGTGTTAGTGTGTCCATGTGTCCCCATGTCCGTGTGTCTGCGCGTTCATATTACAGTCCGGATCCAGTTTTGCGTGTGCAGCAGGGGTCCTGGCCACGTAGTTGTTACTTCCACCTTGCACCTGTCCGTTTGTCCGTGTGTCCTCAGGACCGGCGGGGCGGAGAGGAAGGGCAGGGAAGGGGGGGGTCTCTCTACCTCTCCACCCACCCCCGCCCCCAGCCCCACTCCCTTCAGTCCCGGGATCGAACCTTATTTAGAGTCGCGATTCGACATCTGTTTTCAAATTTGATCAGCTCTGAACTTTATTTTCCGAGTTTGAGGAAAATTATATTCCATCGATCGCGCCCCCGCCCCCTCCCCCGCACCGC